GTATAAAGCTTGGGCACTGTGGTAGAGTATAACTCCATTAAGGATAAGATTTTATTTCGATAAATCACACACAGTGTTGTACAGTTATATTAACTGATGACGTTTCGAGCACAAACTATTGCTTATAGTCATATCAACTTGATATAACGATGAGCAATAGTTTGTGTTCGAAACGTCATCAGTTAATATTACTGTAAAACACTGTGTGATTTATCAAAATAGAATGAAAACTTGGCTTTACTAAGGTAGTTGATTTTGTATTACTGGCCTAGAGGAATGCTGTGTAATTGTATCAGATGTTATGTGTGGCTGATTTAAAGGTGTTTTATCAACCTTTCCATGTGGTTAAAGTGTCTTTTGTAAAGTTCACCATACTATGCCATAGCTTTTATCTTCACTCAACAATTTTATTTTTCTAAATATAAAAACAGTTCGCTTTCGTTTATGTGAAAAGGGTGAAGTTAACTTATCATAGCTGAAGTCAAGGTTTGTCAAAAGTTGACCTTCAAGAATCAATCCAGTTTAGGTGATGTTATGAAAGGTTGTTTCGTACCAAATCATGACTGTATTTCTTGATTTGATGGAGGTAAGTAGAGTGTTCTATTTATTCCTTAGATACCTTTTTCTGTAAGTTTATACTTTTGGGTAAGGCTGAAGTTCGCGAAGGTAAATCATATACTGATCAGATTGCAACTGTACGTTTTACCATCCAGCAAAGCATAGAATGGCAGTCAAACCTCTATCTCAAATTCATCGACTTCGAAAAGGTTTTTGACAGATAGCGTGGACCGAGAAGTAATTTGGAAACTACTCCAACACAAGGGCGTGCAGTGCCCAAATCTTTATCAACTTCATTCAACAGCTGGCTGGCTATATGACAGTGACACATGTCAGTCAGGTGATCCACAACGGAAAACTCAACGAGGCCTTCTGTTGAAGTGTATACAGGAGTAAGACAAGACTGGTTGCCTATCATCACCGATGATGTTGTTAATTGTGGTGGACTGGATTATGCGTCAGACTGTGCAGAGGGAGCGAGAAGACAGGAGTACGCTGGACAATCGATGAGAAGAATCTAGAACATCTGGATTCCGCGAGTGGATGATATATGTCTACTGTTACACAAACTCGAAGACTTTTAGGTAGGCGAAATCCAACAAACTGGCTGAAGATGTGGGCAGCGAAAACAGAACTCCAGGTGAAGACGGAGGTGATGAAGCAACATCAGCCAGCACCAATCTCCATCGGCGGGAGAGATTTGACAGAGGTTGCCTGCTTCACTTATCTGGCCAGGAAGCATCGTTTCAACTGCAGGCAGCCGGAACGGATGAAGATATCAAGGCGGCGAGCCAGAATCGGAAAGTCAAGATATGCCTTCATCAATCTGATACCAGTTTGGAAATCTTCTGTTATCATTCAGTATAAAGAACAAGATTTAGATTTTCAATAGAAATGTGAAGTGGGTCCTTCTTTACGTATCAGAGAATTGCACTGCATGTCAGTCACGAAAAGGATTTCCGAAAGGCCGTTGCAGACTTTTATCAACAGCTGCCTTCGCTGGCTTCATAGCCAGAAAGAATTAGTGACAAGAAACTGTGGCTAGGAACAAACCAACAAATGGTTGATTAATAAACAAATATATTGGCGAAAATGGAGATGGATCGGATATTCATTGAAAGACCTTCGAATGACATCATATGCAATGCAGGCCATTGCTCGGGTGCGATCCAAATGGGAAGCGAAGAGTGGGTCATCGGTTTGAGGGTGATATTGATATCGTGTGGCAAGGAGGAGATGAGAGATTATGGGCAGTCATGGGGTCAGCCAGCTGAAGAGGACAGTGGTAAATAGAGCAAAGTGGAGCTGTGTTGTTGAAGCCCTATGTTCCACTAGGAACCCAAGGGAATAGTAATAAATGAATAACATTACATATGTATTTTCATTGGACACTAGAAACTAGTGTGACGTGTCTAGTCCTTTCTTTGGTGCAGACTGAATTCTATCAATCAAGTTTGCAATGTGGCCACTATTCTAGGTAGGTCGCCAATCATTGATTTGATGATATTAGATAGTTGGAGGCAATCGGCCAAAGGAAGCCTTGGATAACACAAGTTTCGTGCTAGTTGGCACTCATCAGTCAGTAAGGCGTGTCTTAAACCCTGAAAGAACTCATGTCCATTCTGAGATTCGAACCCACATCACCCATTATCCAATACAGTCCTACAGGAGGTCAATCGCGAGCCCGAGTGGCTCAGTTGTAACGTCTCTGACTTCAGCACTGGGTGACTCGGGTTCGAACTCCAGAAGGGACATAAGTTCATTCAAGGTTTCAGATACGCCTTGCTGGCTGACGAGCTCCAACTATCACGAAACCTGGGTTGTCCAAGGCTTCCTGCTGATTTCCCCCAACCATCTAATTACATATGTATTTCTTAGTCGAATCGTTTCCCCTCAATTGACATCATGAATTGATAATTTTTAATCTAACAAAAAAGCGAATGACATAAGATACGAAAAGTGGAGATAAGTAAATGCGATGATATTATTAAGATGATGACGGTATTGAGCTCATGTGAACTGTTTTAACTCTCTCTGAATCCAACTACCCTAGCTATTTAACCATACACTGCTTTTATCAGGTAGACTCTCATCAGACATAGTACACTTTGCTACAAAAATGAGAGCAACAGTCATTTCCCTTATCGATATGTATCTTGGCCAAATTATAGAATAGCGATTAAGTAGTATGGACTCACTAATGACCTTGAGCTCACTTTATTCATTGGATAATGGGACCTACCATTATCATAGCGCCACTCTGATCTCTGTGCACTATCTGAGGTGCAAATTTCATCCCGATTCCATCTGTAAATACAGCCTGCATGATAGTCTGTTAGCACTTTAGAGTTAAGATTAAGATTATGACTAGGGTCAGGGTGAGGGTTACGTCTAGCGAATGGGTAATTTATGTTTATTATCTGTAATTTTCTAGCAAATAACTTTACGGTGTTCATAATAGTTTTCTGTATTTTTCAAACAAATAAGCGGCATGTTTATGTAAAAATGAAAAAGCTGGGTTTTTCTATTGGTAGCCTCAAAGTCACCCCCACGTTCACACTGCTTAAATCTCTATTGTTTAACTTTGTGGGTATCTTTCCTCTGCTTCATTATCCGTGCAGTTTATATGAACTTATCTCGACAAATATACAAAGAAATGGAGATAGGCTGGATACATTCAGGTAACTCTAGGAAGGCCCCTTAGTTGAAACCAAATAAGAAGTGACAAGTTGAATGTCTGAGGGTGACACGAAGTAGATCAGATGAATAGATAGTGAAAGTCTGTGGATAGTTGTGCAGCCAGTTAGAAACGATAACAGAAACAGACTGCAATGAAGATATTCCACACGCAAAATTTTTGGCGAATAATTATTACATAAATCCTGCTTTTATCCTTATACAGCCATGAGATAAATGATGTGTAGACATGTAGAGAATATGCTCCATCCATTTTATATTACACCACTGACTGACTTAGATAATGGTATCTGAAAACTATCGTCAAAATACTCACATTATTCAATGATACCATGTTCAGTAAACTAAATTAGACGGTTTTATATGAAAGCATTCCTTATCTCTATAAATTACAATAAAATTTAAACATTTATAACATCTATGACATCTGTTTGTGTACAGGTTTTCATATTTGCTCAATTAGTCGGGTTAATTTTGTTTCTTTTCTTTTAAAGCTTGACGCAAATCATAAATCGATATTGTTTTTACAGTTTACCAGATGCCTTTCGGAAACATAAAACCAGACTAGTTTCTTCTTCTTTTCTATTCACAAAAAGTATCTTTTTTTATGAAAGTGGCTTTAGAGATTTAATGTTTCCAACGGTTAAAATTTTTAAAATAGCTGGTGGTAATGTTTTGCTTTTATAAAATTCACTGTCTTAGTCATCTCTAGCAAATATATCACGTGACTTAAGTTTGGATAATTATTTTGTTTTTTCAAGGGTGGATTTGCAGGGATTAAATTTGTTTATACGAGCTTGACCACGGATTGACATCATTTGAAGAACCACTGAAAACCAGCTGGGAGTGCTGGACAGCCAGCTGTTTCATCCTAGTCTTGGAAATCATCGGCAGTACGCACCTACCGCCAGTGTTCGAACCCAGGACCTTCTGGTTACAAGCCGAGCGAGCTCGTAGACCATTAACCCACTGAAACCCGATCGAATGGTCCTTGAATTCTTATTCAGATAGGTATTTGCCTGGGTTCTAGTGGGAAGTCCTGACTAGTGCGGTGTACAGCAGGTTGAGTGTGGAGACAAATACTCGCCGATGAAATTCGTTAGTGGTCACGCCTCATCGTCAACTGGCAGAAGATGGAATTCACAGGCTATTTGATTGAGTTTCAGTGGGTTAATCATACACGAACTCGCTTGGTTTTTAACAGGAAGGTCGTGGGCTTGAAAGGTGACGGTAGGTGAGTACTGATGAAGAGTCCCAAACTAGGACGAGTCAGTTGTCCAGTACACCGATGTCAGTTCATGATGAAATCCTGGAATAAAAATGTTCAACAAATTAATTATCAAGGGAAATAGAATAAGATTTCATGTCTATCTTATTGTTTAGCTTCAAAACAAAACTCAATGCTAACTATATTGTTGATTAACAGTCACTTGTATTTATATACAACTACCAATAAGCTACACCTATTACGTGTGAACTACTGATTGCCAAAATCTAAGCTGGTGAAGTGTGGTTAGATCCCGTTACTCAGTGTCTGGAAGTACAGAGTCTAGATCAACTAGTCAGAGTCCCAACTGTTTTTTTTGTGTAGATTATTCCAAGAGATGTGTAAACAATTTCACGGATCTCTTCTTAACCACTGATAACTTTAGTGATTAATATAAAACTGTGCTAACCCTCCAGAGTACACAGACATTTCAACACATTTTCTTGTTTTATTTGTTTTCTTTTCTTATTCACTTTAGTCAATCGAGTCTTTATGTGATATAGTGAGTCATTATGAAACATGTACAGAATTGTGTTTAGCTCGTAATCCTCATGTTACGCCTGAGGGTTGGCGACTAGCAGCTACTCTGTTTCGACGGGTAAGTGGCTATTACGAACATTAATGTGAACATATTAATTATGATTACCATTATTATTATTATTACTATTATTGTTATTATTATTATTTAATCAATTCATAAACACATTATGGATAAGAGAAGACGTTCAGCGAAGAGACTCTTTTCGGCGAATTCATTCACATAGCTGTACAATCGCATTTATATATAATTATTTGTGTGTGTACATGCGGTTTGTCAAGTTTAGATAATTGATCAGGTAACACAAGAATGATATAATATAGAAACAAGGTTAATCAGATAGCAATTTAAGTAAGATTGAGCAAATAAGTTGAATGACGTAACATAAATGACTAGAAATTGAGCTGTGCTCAAGTCAGTAACAGTGGGAGTGAGGTGTAGAAATTAAATCGGATGGGGGTAGAGAACAAGAAAGTTCAAAATGTAAAATATTACAATTGAGAAGACAAAATAATACTAATGAAGAGACAAAAAAAGATTAGGTAGAATTTACTTGTCGGGTTATCAAAAAGACTAAGTCCATTGCAAGTGTAGTGATTGAACAAACTTCTGTATGCAGAGTTCGGGACTTAGCAAGTGAATCGCCATTGCTCCCGCAGTTTGAAAAAGGCTGATTCGTACACTTTTAGGAAGACTACTTCTTACTCTGTAGACGACTTTGAAGTTTGTTTGGGGTGTAGCTTGGTATCCGGATTCTATCAGATGTTCTAAGATGGATCTGCGGGGATATCGTTTTTCTCCTTTGTAAAACCATGTTGGTAAGTGTCCGGTGATACGTTTGGAAAGCGAACGCTGGATACGGTCGACATACCTGGCTCCACACGACCAAGTGAATTGATAAATACACATTGATGAGGCCAACAGTGGTAGGTTATCCTTCAAGTTTACATGAATCATAGGTTTTGTGGAGAAGTTTAGTCGTAGTTCAGCTGCGAAGAAGGTTTTCTTAAGTTAGCTCGACAGTCGATTTTTTAGTGTTTCCGCAGATGTATCTCCATTGAATTGAAGGTTCATGTAGAGTAGTTTTTTTGGGACGCTAAGCATGGGCGGCTTTTGTGGTCTGGGATTCATAGACTTTGCAATAAATCTTTCTGGATAAGAAATCTCGACGAGGATTCTCTTGAGATTGTTCAGTTCATCTTCTATGGTGTCCGAGGTGCAAATTCTGCGAACTCTGTAGCTGAGTGAACGGATCAGGTTTCGTTTGGTGTATAGGGGTACTTAAATGTGAAAGTTAATAGGCTGTCCGTTCCACGTCGACTTTCTGTGGATAGATCTTTTCAGTGTTCTATCCTGTTTTCGTCTTGTTAGTATTTTTAGTCTTCAGTTGCTTGTAAATATCTACTGAAGAATCCTTTTTGACTGATGTTTAACCTCCTTATTAAGTATTATATTTGTAGAGATTTAATTGTTTACATGTTTGATTACGAGATGACAGCTTTTCTTATAGAAACATATATCTGAAACTGTGATAACACCTATAGAGTATTTATTAAACTGAATACAATCCTGCTTTTCCATAATATATTTATTATTAACTTAATAATTCCCATTGTAGCATTAAGAACACAATATTCAGCGAAGAGACTCTTTTCAACGAATTTATTATCAAGATATACAATCGTATATATATGGTTTTTAAGAAATTATATCTGGTGAGGGAATTAGATCAAAGGTGTGAATACATGAAATAATAATAGTATGAAATGCAGTTAAAATATTTTTAATTATAAATATATTTGAATCAAGTTCAACATCATCAAGTTATTCTCCATATCTGTAAAAGATAATCTCTCCCATCCTACCGCCTCCATATGTATCTGTCAATTCACCTGCTCTTGTGCAGTAAAGTACATTAGCCGTAGCCGCAAAACGCTTTCCACATGTATACGAGAACATATTCCAGCATGGTTTTTAAAAGGGGAAAGGAAGGCTGTGCGAAGCTCTAGTCTAGAATACTTGATCAACTGCTGTCACTCTACCAATCTTGACTATGATTATTGGATCATCTACTGAATCCACGCTAACTTCCGCGTTTTCTTTGTTACAAACTTCTAAAGACAACGGAAGTCTTGGCAATTGATGAATTTAAGCCAGATCTTTGTGTACAACAGAAGTATGTAGAATCCTTACTTCTACTTTGACCATAGAGGGATAGACATTTATCTATTTTCAAGTAATGGTTTTTTGTAGGAATTCTGTTTGATTGCTTGGAAGATTTCATCATGAGTTGACTGGCCCTATTCAGGCAGTTATCTGGGGTTCTGGTGGGAAGCCGTGACCAGTAGAGTACACCAAGTTGAAGGTGAGGCAGTAACTTATCGAAGAAGTCATCGCGAAGTGATCGCGCTATGTCAGTGGCGTACTACCGATGATTCCCGAAACTAGGATTAAATGGCTGTCCGGTACTCCCAGGCTTTCCACTGGTTGTCTAACTGATGTCAGCTTATTATGAAATTCTCCAAACGGTCAAATACATTAAGAGATTTATGTGGAGAAGAATATTTCACTCATTTTCCTGTAATTCATTTAACACCAAATAGGGCTGATGTGTAACAAGTTATGAGATCAATTTTGAAGCAAATAGACAAAAGCTAATTAGTTACGGCATTTCCGGTATTACTATTTACGTTATGCCAATATCTGAAGCTGATTCATACTTTCATATGACTTTCAAAACTATCAGTCCCTTCAGCCTTATCAGGTGTTCTCTACTTCTTTACTGTCATTGTATCTTCTATAGTTTGGTTTGTAAGGGTTAGTTATGTTTTTACGAGTTGATCACGGATTGATATCAGTTAGAGAACCAATGAAAACCAGCTTGTAGTACTGGACAGCTGCTGTTTCATCCTAGTTTGGAAATCATTGGCACTACGCACCCACTGCCTGGGTTCGAACCTAGGACCTTCCGGTTACAAGGCAAACTCGTATGCCATTCAGCCACTGGGACCCGATTCAATGGCTCATGAATTCTAACTTCTACCAATTCGTGATTTAGCACAACCTCAACCATTATCATTGGTGGGACATCCATCCATACACGTGAAATCTGATTGGACCTCACTGGCTAAATGGTATACGAGCTCGCCTTGTAACCAGAAGGCCCTGGGTTCGAATCCCAGTGGGTGAGTACTGCTGGTGATTCCCAAAACTAGGATGAAACAGCAGCTGTCCAGTACTCCCTGGTTTTCAATGGTTCTTTAACTGATATCAATCCGTGATCAACTCGTAAAAATATCATTGTAACTCTTAATATGCTGTATTCTTGTTTCTGGTGTCTGTTCACTTGCTCACTGAAATACTGCTCCGAGTGTATATGATTATTTTGTATAAGATTTTCTAATTCAAATACAGTATGCCTGTGTACCTCTTTATTAACCTTCATTGTACCTCAGAGTTAAGTTTCATAGGATTCTTTCGATTTTCACCTTGTTTAATGCAAAAGTATAAAGTCTTTACAATCACATTAGTGACCACAGCTATCTATGTATGATGAAGTTTAAGACTTCATATTATTAACAATAACACCTGGCTACCGTTTATTTTTTTATGACTATGGATGCAATAGTGCATACAGTCAAACAACCAGATTGTCAGAGAAATTCACACTTAGTTAGAAACATCCTAGCCAATTTCAAATAGAAGCAATTAAAAATCAACAAGACGGATTGAATTATTTCATGACTCTTCAGACCACACTCAAGTTAATGGTTTGAATTTTGATAAAATCTCTGAAGCTTCGGATTTCTTTGTAAATACTTATACATGCTGCAAGGATAGGTTGTCTGATTAATGAATCAATCAGTTATCTCGTAAATAGCTAGACGAAATTGGCTATCCAATCACACGCCTATAGCATTCGCCATATATATATATATGTCATCTTTCCTTTTACAAATACACTTTTACTTTCCGCCTCACCCCGTGGCGTGATCTCGCTTAAGTAGCGGGCTGGGAAATCAGGTAGTTGTTTGATAAGTTGTTGCAATAGATAAGCCATATCTACGGCCACCACGTCTATACAATTTCGTGTGTCCCTACTTCCAAATCACTCCGTTTTGAAAAATATAAAATTGGCGATGGAGATGTTGAATTCTACGCAGCTGAATAAATTTCTTGAACAACAAATGTTTATGCCCTCAGAATTCCCTGGAAGGGAATCATACCAGACCATTTCTGCTGTAATAGCTACCCCCTCTTCGGTAAGCGGAAATACTGAATGCATTACTGAATTCCATTACGATCCTGTTGGAAATATTACATTTCCTACTTGGTCCAAAAGCTTTGGGGATGATTTTTAAGTGGATTTTGCTATGTAAGTTGATTCCTGAAAAATTCACCTCCTGCTTCGAAAACTAACTCCATCGGAATCCGACAGATATTGTAATATAATTTTACCTAAAAACCCAGGCAATCACATATTCTATGCCACACTACAGATGTTAAGATAAAATTGTGTTTGCTATGGTCGTCTCAAACTAATCATGGAGAAGTACCATGATTTCCTCATGCACGTTGGTATTGTCAACCGTGTATATGAAAGATTTAAATTGGAATGCTTGACGGAAGACCAATTTAAATTACTAACTATTGTTTGCACCTTACAGTCTCCCAAGTTTACCGATATCAGAATAAGTTGGCTGAACCTGTAATCTAGTCCTATATGGACGCTAGGGTGGTAGTGAAATCTGTGCATTTTGCCAGACTTGACAAACTTCCGTATCAACAATTATCGAAACACACTAGGGATTATGATGACATGTTGGCAAAATTTACTCGTCATAACTTTTCTGTCTTGAGTTAATCATTTTATTTATTTTATTTCATTCTTTAACATTCCAAGTGATGAAACATAGTGCTTCAAACTAAAGCTTTGAAGTTTCGGTAGTAGTGGTTTTATTTTCATGTGATGGGATTACTAGCCTGATGCCAAACCTTCCGTCTTTACCGGCCTTATTACCGGTTTACTAAGGTGTAAGAGCGCGTCACGTGGAGGATGTTCATCGCTGAGGAGCGTTCTACCTCTGCACCACCGACTCAACTCATTTAATTACACGATGTGAAAACTAATGTTCTCGTTATTCTATAAAACAAACCATCAGATTATTTTTAATGGTTACTCACCAAAGGAGAGTTTAGCATATCACATTAAACCAGAATTTGGTAGCGTATAATGTAGTTGTTTGGCAGTGAGAATATTACACCTAAATTGATTGTATTTAAATGATCCTGATTTCTTATCTCACTTTGGTTAAAGTTAAGCGAATTGAAAACACGCCGATAGAATTCAGGCGTTAAATCACATTAAGGTCACAAACTCCTATGAAAAATTAAAATCACAAATCATAAATGTCAAGTTACCGTAATACTTTACGTCAGAAATTAATTTCCTGACAGTATTCAATACTACCTGATAACTTGTTAATCTTTGCTTACACTTAATTCATTAGATGGCGAGTTTACAATGGCTAGATTTGAGAGGAAACAATTTGGATCTGCATTGTGTGCAGGATTTGTCTGGGTCTCTTCGAGGTTTTCCTACAGAAGGAACTATAAGACGGATTGTTAAAAAACAGCACGACAAATACAGCTTTCCACAACCTGCGGGTTTTTTTACATTACGCGGCAGAGGTCCTCTTGAAGTTAACAGACATTCATCTTGTTCAGATCCGTTTTATAATTTACGAAAACCACGAAGAGCTTCTTCTTCCTTGTCTTCTCCTTCTTCTTCTTCTCCTCCTCCTCCTCGTGGTCTACATTTGGGTAATACAGGTGTCAATGGAGAATTATTACAATCACTAGCACCAGGATTACGTTTGGGTTGTATTACTGATCTCCGTTTGCCTAATAATGGAATAACTGGAGGTGATGCTAAATTTCTTGTTCCTTTACTGAGATATAGTGTGCATCTTAAATATTTAGATCTCAGTGCAAATTTTCTTGGGGTAAGTCTCCCATATATATATATATATATATATATATATATATATATATTTACAATTCAATATTAATACGAAATGTATTCGCAGAATTTAATGGGGATACAGACAATAGGTTCCCGAAATATATTTTTAATTACTATTGCTAAGGAACTATGTCACTGTTGATCATTATTACATTCATTCACAATACTGATGACGCTTTATTGTTTTATGTCACAAAAATATTATTTTTTTTATGCATATTCACTTATCATCATTGCTTTCGGGAAGTGTGCTAGCAAAAAGATACATTTGGTGATTCAGGAGTGGAATAATCGCCAACCACGCCTTACACAGTAATTGATGCAATTCCCAACTGATGCTCTTGTGAACATCGCCTAGCCGGTAATAAACGTGATATAGAGGGAAGGTTGGGTGTAAGACTAGTAACTCTACCCCTCCCCCACCTTAAAAACAACTTCACTGCTACTGCAACTTCAAAGCTGAAGCCCCGAGTCCTATCCTCCACTTGGAACTCAGAGGAATGGAGAAAAAACAACAACTGAAAAAGCAATCTATTTTTATACGGCCTTAGTGAAACAGTATATAGCCTATATTTTATACTTGTTATACAGTTTCTAAGACAATTCAGTATGTCTGGTGTCGTCAAGTTGTCAGCGACTCAGTATTAAGGGATGAAACAGTGCTGATAATTCAGATTTAAGTTATAGCGATGAGTATAAATGCTTTTATTATATCACACTGTTTCAATTGTTTGGCAAACACTAATAGTAGAAATCTTTATTACTATGCTTTATGTGGTCTGACATAACCACTGCTGGATAGCAAAGTACTTATTGTTTCAGGTGTTGGTTGTCAAAGGTTTGATTGATTTCAACTTTGATCACAAACTGGCTGAAGTTAGGGGACCACTAAACATCTGCCTCATACTTGTTTGGGACTCTTCACAGCAGTTTTCGTCCATGACCTCATCTGGGATCAAACCTAGAGCCTTCAAGTGACAAGGCGAACTCGTATACCATCCAGTGGGCCAGTGGCCCATCTATTACAACTTCTGCCAATTCGCGGTATGTAGGGCGACTGACAGCCAGTGTATCATCAGTGAGTGTCTAACCTCACGTCCAGCTTGGTAGATCTGGTTGGTCACCACTTCCCACTAGAACTTCAGAGTCACTTTATCCCGTCATCAGTCACAAGTGGACACTAGTTTTTGTTGCCATATATTGTTTCATAAAAGTAGGATCATATTTTGTCATTCACCAGCTAAAGATAACTAACTTACAACATGTGTTTAGGGACAGGTCAACTTATGGATGTAGTTCACTTTTGTAATAAGTATACTCTTCTTGATGCTTAGTTTTTGTAAATAATTCGTGGCCAAGACAGAGCACATATCTGTTGGCCGTATGTTTATGATTCTAGTTATTGTGTTTCATAGATCATATGAGTGAGAATGTTAAGTGATTCATTCGATGTTAATTACTGAGATGTTTCCTAGTCTTACGATGATGACATTCCTCATAGCAGCATTCACTGCTTACATACATTCCCAGTGCTTAAAAGGTATTTGTTGTTTGAAAAAATATAAATCCCTTTCTGGCCTTCTGGCATATGTTATCCAGCGTTTTATTTACACGCATCACCAATGATTTCCTTGAGATGTATCAGTTCACGTTTTAGAAAATGTGGTTGTCAAATATTTTATGTGATGATTCAAGGCAATCTATTCAGAAGAATTGTGTTTGATAAGTAAACCCTGTACAGTTTTTCCCTATCATCTTGATATGCCTGACGAGTTCCTATTCTCTGGAATCTTGTAATCACTTGTGTGAATAGATCACACACATTTTTATGCTCAATCATTCATACCATCACTGAGTGATTCATCGATTTATTTGACTGTCTTGATCGAATGATCGTTAAAGGTGACAAATTAAATTGAACTGTCGCAATGCACGATTCCATACGGAGGTTGAAAAGTTATTTCATCCAAAAAGTGATAATTAGTAATTGTATCAGATGGTGTCGCTGGTATAACTTAATGCTATTTCAACTGTTTGCCACTACTGAAGTCCTACCTCTCTGATATTTGTTTTCCTGAAAACACGTCTGTGACGATTTGGGTTAATTTAATTTCAATTATTAGATTTTGTCACGAACCACTATCACCTATGGAGATCATTGGAAATCAGTCAGTACTGGACAGCTGTTTCCACCCATTTCACGATTCTTCTGTAGTGCGAACGCACGACTTCACTATGGATGTATCCTGGGACCTTCAAGTTACGAGAAAAAGCTCGATGATCATCTAGCAACACAAGCTGAAATTCAATGATCTATGAATTCTAACTTCGTCAACTTTTGATCATACAGCCACCGTCACCAATGCCTTCAATGAACATTCACGAAACAGCCATCCAGTACTCCGTGATCTCGAACAATCCCTCTAACTGACGTTGGTTCGTGACGAAACCTATTAATAGAGGAAACTAGAACAGTTATTAACTTACTACACTGTTGTACTAATTTTACAATAGGGGCATCTATAAAGTAAATAGTTGAAGAAGTTTATTCGTACATTTATATGCATACATATTCGTCAATATACATATATATACTACTGATTAATCCAGACGAGTAGTTGTATACCACTCAAATCAACCAGTAGTGCTTGCTAACCAGCCACATCGGGATGATCTAAACATCGGACGGCCGTTTCGCTCGTTTGGGGGGTGAATTTGCTTGCTTTCTTGATAACCACTTGTAGTATCAAGCAGATCACATACTGTGATATGATTAATTTTGATTTTCAAAGGAGACTGTGGTGAGGTACTTCACATCTTCGAACTGTGTATACTGCAGATCGCTAACCGGTTCGCAAATTTTTAATTTAATAATATAGACTGACATTCTTCAGATTTTCTTTAGCCTAAAAAAGTCACTAAAACTAAAAGCCAAATTGAATTATGTGATTTTAGATTCTAAGTGGATTTCGAGATTTAACACTTAACACTGTTGTTTTAAACTTGAACTCTTTTGAAATGTCATAATAATCTTATATTTATGAACTTAAATTTTATTTCATGTGAGTAAGTAGGAGTTGTCAAGTGAATATCGCTAGGCACAAACATAAATCATTCTACAATAAAGTGATTTACTGGTTTTTAGGTTATCTCGTACTTTCCCGTTAACTGATTATGTTGAATCGAAATTCTTTACGCCTGTTGACATGTTGGCTCCTAATACGGACGCTTCGACGATACCTTAGGCTTAAAGTGAAGTTATTTTGTAGGCTGGTAACTGGCACAGAAATCTTGGACGTGCATGTCAACAGGGACCGAGGATTTCGGTACGGCGTAATCAATCAACGGAAAATACAAATTAACCTAAAAACGAATAATAACTAGTACACAGTGATCAAGAGGTGGCGCTGGTGGCACTCGTAGCCTAGCGGGTACTGCTTTGGTATTTGAAATGATTGTAGGCTTCGAATCTCAATGTGAACATCATCACTCTCTTTGAAGGCAGGTACATCCTACCGACGAGTCCCAAACAGGTCGAAGTGCTGCTAGTCACCATTAACTGAAGCGATTTGCTTTCTTGCAGCTTACAACCAATAAAGATAAAAACTGAACTAATATTGCTGTTTTTCTTTAAAATAAACGAACTAAAATGGAGAAGTCACATATTTAATGGCGACTAGCGGCAAAATCTCAGGTGGGCACCTCGTTCATTTCGGGACTCATCAACTGGAATCCCCTCTTTCCAACGAGTGATGTTTCTTCCATTGATAATCGAACGTTCATGCGAGAGGTGGCTATCGTGACCTAGTCGACAACCTTCTGACGTTTGAGTCTCAGGATGAACGTTTGTTCTGATAACGAGTCTTAAACAGGTCGAAACTCATTTCCAGCATCCCGCCGCTAACTATCACAATATGTAAAGTTTCAAGACGCTAACTCTAACAACATCTATTCAAGTAGCCCATATAACAATGTGTGGCTGATCAACTCTGGTCAGATATATCAACAGGAAATCACTAACAGAGACAATTTTAAAAAGAAATAATGCTTAGTTAATTCCCTCATATACGATTGAAGGCTATTTATTATTCATTTCAACATTTGTTATATATATTTCGATAAATTCCCTTGTTACTTTTGTTCGAAAAAACAAACAGAATAATCTTACAGTTATATAGTGTCGGTCAACAGCGTTATTTTAAAAGTCCGGATAACTTACAGGCGATTCGTTTTTAATAAATAGATAGTTCTATTTATTAAATATATTCACTGATTTAAAAAGAAGTATAATTGATCGTAAACTAGGTAACACGATAAAATTAATAACTTTGATATTAACTATCCGTATAAATATTCTTGGAAGAATCACTCTATTGAGTGTATTTTTATATTAGTAGGGATACTTTGTTACCTAGCTAACATCAAAACACCTATTGTATAGTGTATTTGCTTTGATTTCTATATGCTATATTGCTATGCTTTAGAAGTACTGAACAATTATCTCAACTTTAGTTGGCCTACTTCTAAATTATGAAATAGAAAAAATGAATACATTAAATGAATAATAATGACATCTAATTCTGTCTTATGAAATGAGTCTGTTAGAGCTTAATAAGATCATATTGTTCTTGGCCTTCTACATTGATCTTTTATTATTACTCCCTTGCGTTCCGAGTGGAATGTAGGGCTTCAACAGCACATCTCCACTTTGTTTAATTTTCTGCCATCGTCTTCATCTGGCTGACTCTACGACTGCCCATAATCTCCTCTCCTCCATGTCATCCTCGCACCGACGACCCACTCGTCACTTCCTATTGGGATTCCACTCGATTAATGTCCTGCATTGCGCGCGATGTCATTCGACGGCTTCCTCAATGTATGTTCAATCTGTTTCCATTTTCTCCTATATATATATTTGAATAAAGCAAGAAGAATAGTGGTTTGTGCAGAGTTTGCCCTTCTTTCTGTTTTCCCAACTTT